ATTATGCTCTAGCCTGTAGTGGGGTGCTCTATAGCGAGTACAACCCTTCTAGGGTTTGCTATTTGTATCCCCATTCTTACTAGTGCAACCTCTCTTTGCCTAAACTTCTCTTGCCTAGCTAGGACTCTCCTAGCTATGGCTCCTAACTATCTTTACTATCTTGATATGGCATCAGAGCTTAACGTTCCTGGCCTGTGGGCCCACTTCACTGCTTCCGCTGCTACTGCTACTCCCTGTCCGCCGCGCGCCCCGTGGTGCGCGGCGTCGAAACTAGGGTTTTCAGCCCGCCGTGCGCCCCGAGGCGCGCGGCGGTTTTCTGCCCGCCGTGCGCCCCGTGGCGCGCGGCGGTTCTCTGCCCGCTGTGCGCCCCGAGGCGCGCGGCGGGCTTCTGCCCCGTCACTCGACGCGTCGCCCCCGGGAGGCGTTGCGACGGGCGACGGGGACCCGCGCGTCGCCCCCCGTCGCCCGTCGTGGCCTGCGCGCGGCCCGTACAGCCGGCGTGCGGCCCGTACGGGAAGCGCCAGGCCCGCGCGCGGCTCGGGCCGCCTGCGCGCGGTTCGGGCGGCTATGCCAGGCCCGTGGGCGGCCCGTTCCTCGCTGCCCCTGCCCTCCCCACTGTCCCCCGTGCTTCTACTGGCGCCCCACCCCTCCTACAGCCCGTTCTCCTGAATTAGGGTTTGGGGGTGAGGGGTATGGGGGTGAAGCCACTGAGTGCCGTTCCCTGTTCCTCCTCCTCCTCCGTCTCCCTGTGCTGCAGCTGCCGCTGAGGGGGGGTGGACTTGTTGGAGCCGTTGGAGTGGTACTAAGGGGGGGTGAAGGGGGAGTGGAGCTAGCGGTGTAGCAGCGGGTGTGTGTCAAGGGGGGGTGGGATAGTTTGGGGAGGTTGAAGGGGGTGGCCGCCGTGAAGCCAGCAGCTCCAGTCGCCCGTGAGACCGTTGCGCCAGTCGCCCGTGAGCCCGTTGCGCCAGTCGCCCGTGAGCCCGTTGCGCCAGTCGCCCGTGAGCCCGTTGCTCCAGTCGCCCGTGAGTCCGTTGCTCGTCTGCCGCTACTTTCAGCCGCGGAGCCAGTTACTCCAGTAGCCCGTGTGCCAGTTGCTCCAGTTGCCAGTGTGCCAGTTGCTCCAGTTGCCCGTGTGCCAGTTGCTCCAGTTGCGCCGTGTGCCAGCAGCTTCAGCTGCCGCCCACTACCTCCTCTCCTCTCATAGTCTCTTTCCTCCTCCTCACTTGCCCGTTGTGACTACCACTAGCTTTGCTCATAATTGTGAACTTTAAACTATTGCTTCTTGAACTTGTGCTCAGAATGTGTGGTGACATTGTGATCCACCCTGAGCTTGTACTGCTTTGCTTGCTCTGCTGATTACACCCCACTTTGGCTATGGGGATGTGTCAGAATATTATGCTCTAGCCTGTAGTGGGGTGCTCTATAGCGAGTACAACCCTTCTAGGGTTTGCTATTTGTATCCCCATTCTTACTAGTGCAACCTCTCTTTGCCTAAACTTCTCTTGCCTAGCTAGGACTCTCCTAGCTATGGCTCCTAACTATCTTTACTATCTTGATAGTTTTAAGCGCTGTGAGATTTCACAGAATTGTCAAATAATAATGACCGCCTTATTCGTGTCTTTGAAGCGAGCTAAACGAGCAATGTAGAAACATAATTTGTTATTTTACAATAAGTGTTGAAACTTACTCAACCCGTAAGTTATAGAAGTATGTGTGACTTTCCCTTCATTGCGTGGTTCCTTTCACCCGTTTCTCTTTCATTCCTTCTTTCTTTCTAAACCATTCTCTCCTTAAATCACTCCTTGTCATTCCTCGCCTCCTGTTTATCTCATGTTTTCTGCCATCCCATGTTTATTCCCTCCCTCCCTTCTCATTCATCGCCTCATGTTTATTCCATGCTTCTTTGTTTAGCTCGTTCTTTTCTCGTAATTATAGAATCGATTTATTTCTCAGAGTGTTTTGTGTTTGGTCTGCCAATGATTTTTTCTTGCACTTTGTCAATCCGTGCATTTTGTTTCTGTTTGATTACCATCTTTATCAATTTCTCTGCCTTCCCCCTTCTTCTGCCCCTTTTGCCCTCTTCCTTTCCCCAGAAGCTTTGCTGTATTATTGGGAAGTCAAGACCAATGTGGAAAGTAGAAGGATATCAGTGTTGACTTGTATGATTGATGGTATTGTTTTGCTTTGGTAGATTTGCTTTTTATTGACTTGTCTCAGTTCTTGCGCGTGAATTTTGGTGCATCTGTATGTGTATGTCTCTATGTGTGTGTATGTATGTGTATGTGCATTCATCCATTTGCATATATCATTGCATTCACAATGCATATTTTTTCAGAATAGCTAGGCAAGAATGAATGAAAGGAGAGAGGGGTTTCACTAGCAGCAGTTGGGGTACATATAGCAAACCCTAACTGGGTTGTACTCGCTATAGAGCACCCCACTACAGGCTAGACAATAATAACATTCTGACACACCCCCATAGCCAAAGTGGGGTGTAATCAGTACAATGAGCAGGCATAGCAGTAGTTCACAATTATAAGCAAAGCTAGAGGTGATCATAGAGGGCAAGTGAGGAGGAGGAGAAACTGTGAGGGCGAGAAGATGAAAGGCGCCGACTGAAGCTGCAGACACACGGGCAACAGGAGCGGCGCGCACAGTGGCTACCGAGCGCACGAGGGCACCGGACTACGGGGGTAACAGGCTCTGCGGCTACGAGGAGCACACACAGGAGCAACGGACCCACAGGCGACTGGCGAAGCAGGCTCGCTGGGCTACCGAAACGCGCGAGGGCATCCGGACTACTGGCGCTGCTGGCGTCACGACGGCTACCTCCACGCAACCTCCCCCGACCGTCCCACGCCCCTCTCACACACCCCCTGCTGACACCCTAGCTCCACTTCCACGGCACCCCCCTTAAACCCTAAACCCTCGGCTCCCACACATCCACCCCCCTCAGCGGCAGCTGCAGCAGTGGGAGACGGAGGAGGAGGAGGAGCAGGGGACGGCGCACACACACGGCACCCCCATAGCTGCCACCCCCACACTCCTCACCCCCAAACCCTAAAAACGGGCGGAACGGGGGAAGGAGCGCGGGGGACGGCGAGGGGGACGGCGCTCGGCCCCCAGGACGCCACCACGGGGCAGCGAGGGGCCGCGCGCGGCTCCCCAGGGCGGCGCGACGGGAAATCGGGGCCGCGGGGGGTCGCGCGCGGCTCCCCAGGGCGGCACGACGGGAAATCGGGGCCGCGGGGGGGTCGCGCGCGGCTCCCCAGGGCGGCACGACGGGAAAACGGGGCCGCGGGGGGTCGCGTGCGGCTCCCCAGGGCGGCACGACGGGAAATCGGGGCCGCGGGGGGTCGCGCGCGGCTCCCCAGGGCGGCGCGACGGGAAATCGGGGCCGCGGGGGGTCGCGTGCGGCTCCCCAGGGCGGCACGACGGGAAATCGGGGCCGCGGGGGGTCGCGCGCGGCTCCCCAGGGCGGCGCGACGGGAAATCGGGGCCGCGGGGGGTCGCGCGCGGCTCCCCACGGTAGGAAACCGCCGCGCGCCTCGGGGCGCACGGCGGGGAGAAAACCGCCGCACGCCCCGAGCGCGCGGCGGGATGAAAAATCCGTCGCACGCCACGGGGCGTGCGACACAAAGAGTAGTAGGAGCAGCGGAAGCAGGTGGTGGGGCCCACCCACAGGATCGACCCATCTGGATCGTCCTGCTCTGATAGCATGTCAGAATAACTAGGCAAGAATGAATGAAAGGAGAGAGGGGTTTCACTAGCAGCAGTTGGGGTACATATAGCAAACCCTAACTGGGTTGTACTCGCTATAGAGCACCCCACTACAGGCTAGACAATAATAACATTCTGACATATTTGTGTGTTTTAAAAAATTGTCAACCTATCATTTCCGAGAAGGTTCTTTGCGCACTCAGTGAGTGTGTCCATTTGAACTGGATTTGATGGATCTTGATCATTTTTTTAATTTACACAGATTGTGTTGTTTCATGTAACAGTTGGGTAATTCAGGATTTATGCTATTGACTTCCCCCCCATGCTAGGCAGGGGATGCGGTAGCATAGGGTCTGGGTCAATTAACTGTTACGCATTTCCATCATGCTATGCATCCATTTCAAAGTAGCGTAATACGCATTACCATCATGTCATGCATCCATTTCCATCATACAGCGGATTATAACGAAAAAAACACAATTTTTTTATCACAGTAGCATATGCATTATACCGTATTTATGAATTTTGCATTCAATATTTGGTTCATATCCATCCATACATCATCTATGCATATAATATGATCCGGCATATGCATTACGGAATAGACAATCACGCGTTCATGTTTCATCCATACAGTATAGGTTCGTACAGTAAAACAAATTAGGAAATGAGAAGGAACGCAGTACGGCACGTGCTAAATTGCCGTGGCAAATACATAGCTGTAAGTGACACAGCTACCGTTCATTAGATTTTCTTCGTATTTTTTAAAGAGGATTGAAAAAAAAATCAACATAACGATTGTAATAGGTTGCTCCGCAACCCAAAAAAAGAGATTTACGTTGTCAGGAGGCCCGACTGTATCGATGACAAAATTGTTTCAGGGTTTCGGGGGGCAAGTCATCCCCATTGGCCAGCAGAACCCAGAAAACTCTGGCACTTCCCCGAGTCCTGCTCAACAACCCCATTCCCGCCCCGCCCGTCCCTCCGCCTTCACTTCCCCCGCTTACGAAATCTTCCCCGGCTCCGCTCCCCGTCCCCAACCATATCGGCTGCTTGTTCCGCGGCCTCCTATGCTTTCGCGCAACCACAGCCCAACAGCTGCATCCATCCATTCCGCTCAGCCTCAACCGTCGTTCTTGAACTAGGAGCCTGAAAGATAGTTTCTATCTGTGCCTTGCGACTCGGTTATCTTGAACGCGGTCGCTATACAGATTCACCGTGTTACGCGGTCGGTTCGCGGTCAGGACGCGTAGTACGCAGCTGGTGCGCGGTGCATGGGAATGACGTTTCAGGTGTTCGTTCGAGGTCTCGATGGCGCCACTACGGTTCTTCGCACCGATAGAGCCGTGATTTCCGGTGCTGACCTCAAGACCGCGTTGCGAAGCCGGCGCGCTCTTCCGCCGCTTTTACGCGACAGAAGCGACGGCAGCTGCGACGCCTCCGATGGATGCGACGGATGCGACGCGTTTCGCGTCGTCACCGGCACGCGTGAGATTTCTAACACGTCACTCCTCTCTGCTGACGCGGCAGGATTCTTTCCTTCGTGCCACGTCATCGCGAGGGTTCTCGGAGGAAAGGGTGGCTTCGGGTCGCTGCTGCGCGGCGCCGCCACCAAAGCCGGGCAGAAAAAGACGAGCAATTTCGACGCGTGTCGCGATATGAGTGGTCGGCGACTCCGCCACGTCAACGCCGAGCGTAAACTGAAGGATTGGCGGCACGAGGCGCTGGAACGACAACTGGAAAAGACGGCGCAGGACTATTTGAAACGACTCGCGAAGGAGAAGAAGAAGCGGCGCGAGGAGGTGGTCGATCTAGGCGCGGTGCGCAAGGCCAGCCACGCCGCCATGGCGAGAGTCGCTGATGCGGTGAAGAGCGGTATGGAGCGGCACGGTCTGGATAAGGGGAAGCGGAAGCTGAGCGCGGAGGATGAGGGGGAAGAGGAGGCGGAGCGGGCGCAGTATGCGAAGCGAGGAAAACTACTGTACGTTTCTTGACCGGGGGAATGGAGCGGGGAGGGGAGCAATGCGGGGAGGGGAATGGGGTATGGGTGGTTGGAAGGGTGTTAAGAAGGAAAAAGAGCCGGGAGGGATGGGGAGGGGGGTGTGAATGGAAGTATATGGGGCTGAGTTTATAATTCCGCTCCTGTTAACCCCGCTTTCCTCTGCCGTGTGCCTCGATGCTTTGCCCGTTGCGATCTCGTGCGCATTATGTGTGTCGCTCCATGCGCTCTCACATGCCCATTCGTTTGGCTTGATTCCCTGCGTATCCCTGCGTATCCGTGTCCCTGTTCCTCTCCCTGTATTGCAGAGGCATGCTGGAGGATATTGAGGAGGGGGAGGACGACGAGGAGGAGGATGAGGAGGAAGGGGAAGAGGAGGAGGATGAAGAGGATGAGGAGGAAGACGAGGAGGAGGTAGACGAGGAGCATGAGGAAGGAGAGGACGGCACAGAAAAGGGAGGGGAGCAGGGGAGTGGGAGTGGTTCAAAGGAGGGGAGCGAGGGGAGTGGCGGTGCAGTGAGTGCGGGCAGTGCGGGGAAGGCAGTGGCACCGCTGCACTCGTCCTCGTCTGACGAGGAGCGCGATGAAGCTTGCCATGCCAGTCGCTCACCTGCTGTCCACTCCTCGGTGCTCCATCATCCGGAGCCGCAGGCACAGCCGCAGCAGGTGCAGCAGCAGCAAAAAGTGCAAGAGCAGCAGCAGCAGCAGGAGTCCCAACAACACCAGCAACAGCAGCAGCCGCCGCCGCAGACAGAGCAGACAGCAGCAGCAGCAGAGGGTCCCATCGATCTCTCTCTCTTCCACTCTGCTGCCGATCTGGAGGTGAGTGCTGGGCCCACCCGTGTGCTCCACGTGTGCTTCTGCCTTACACCCTCATGCCATGCCTGCGTCACCCTTTCCCCTCCCCTCAGCTCCCCTCCCCATCCCCATGCACTACCCCACCCGTATTCCTCCCTCTCTTCACGCGACCATGCTCACCCTTCTGCCTATCATCTCCCTCCGGGCCTCCCTCCCCTACCCGTCCTCCCGTTTTTTCCTATGTGTGTCCCCAATCCTCCTCCCCTCCTGTGCGAGCCCTGCCTTGTGCCAGCCCCTAGGTTTGGAGCGACTTAAGAGGGAGCTGCAGCAGAGGGGGCTCAAGTGTGGCGGCACGCTGAGTGAGAGGGCAGCGCGGCTCTTCCTGCTCGCCAGCACGCCCCTAGACCATTTTAGACCCCAAACACCTGGCAGGGGCTGCTGCTGCTGGTGGCAAAGGCCGCAAGGGCAAGGGCAGGCAGTGACTGGGAGAGAGGGTAGCAGCGGGGCTCTTTCTGCTCGCCTCGCCAGCACGCCTCTGGACCAGTTGGATTCCAAACTCCCCGCTGCGGCTGCTGCTGCTGCTGGCAAGGGGTGCAAGGGGAAGGGCAAGGGCAAGCAGTGACTGGGTGGTGGTTGCCTGCTGTAGATAGCTATTGCTGGCAGTGCCTGCCAGGCTGGTGTGCTTTTGGTTGCTGCTTGTGTTGTGGCAGCACTGTGGTGGTGAATACCATTGGCTGTCCACATGGCCATTTTCTTGCTTTTCATTTCTGCCTGCCGTGTGTTTGGGAGTTCTGGTACGGTACTTGTTACTGCTCGTTTAGGCTTCCCACTGCAAGGCTTCCAAAGCTATCCATGTAAATCCTCAATTCTATGCATTTTCTATTCATAAACACCAGAACACTACAAATGTTTCATTAATAACACAGAACAAGTGTGACATAATATATTATACATAATACATCCGTGCCCGAACTTTGATTATCATACACACATGTACAGTTGCTTTGAAACGGAAAAGAGAGGCCCTGAGAGGGGCATGGAAAACTCTAAAGAAGGCTGTCACATGCCGCTTCACGCTCATGCCAACTGCGAGGAGGGAAGGAGGGGAGCGAATATGTAGGGGGGAGACAAGGGGGGTGCAGAAAGGAAAGGGGGTTTCCCTCATGGAGGTTGGCCCACGTTGCATCAAGCTCATGCCAGAGGAGGGGAATGGGGGAGATGAGGGGTGAAAAGGGAAGGGGAGAAAAGGGAAGGGGGTAGGGGGAAGGGATCTGAGGGGGTATGAGAGGTAAAGAGGAGAAGAGCAGAGAGCTAAGGGGAGAGTAGGGGCGGGGGGGAGGGGAGATGAGGGAAGGGAAGGGAATACGAGGGGAGGGCGGGGGGAGATGAGGGGAGAGCTGGGGGAGATAGGGGGGTAGCTGGCGGAAACGAGGGGAGAGCGGGGGAGATGAGTGGAGAGCGGGGGAGATGAGGGGGGGGTCGGGGGGAGATGAAGGGTAATCGGGGGGAGATAAGGGGAGACGAGGGAAGGTCGGGAGAAGATAAGGGGAGGGCGGGGGTTGATGAGGAGAGAGGGGGAAACGTGGTGAGAGCGGGGGGAGACGAGGAGAGGGAAGGGGTGAACAGGGGGAGTGCGAGGGGGATGAATAGAGAGCGCGGGGAGAGAGGGAGGAGAGATGTGCGAGGGAAAATGAGGAGAGGGAAAAGGAGACAGGGGGTGGGAGGGAGGGGGGGGGGAGGTGGGAGGAGAGAAGGGGTTCACGGCATGAAGTTTCGGATATAACGTTTTTGCGTTTGGCAGCTCGTAAAATCTGACATTGGTGACGGCATATAACATGATCGCCGAAATCCGAGGTTCGCGAGAGCGTGTAACATGCTCGTTGATCGCTCTTCTCCCTCACCCGCCCTGCCTCGCCGCCTCTTGCCGTCCAATGCCTCCCTTCCATATTGAGTTAATTTCGTGCCTCTCTTGTGCAAGACTAGAGCGCTGCGCTTCGCCTGCCTGACGAGATCGACTGAGGCCGCAAAGCCGACGCGCTCTCAAGTCCGGCATGATAAGTATATGCAAATCGACACTATTCCTCCCGCGGTTCGTAACCTAGTAATCGCTGGATCTTACGGCCACTGGCTGCTTATTTCACTTGAATCTAAGACCAGTACTAGTTCAGCTATTAGACGTAAGCGGCTTCAGGCCAGGTACTATAAGGTGGAAGCGGCTAAAACTGAAGCGCGACCGAAAGCATGACTGGTAGAGTCTACGGCAACAAGAAACGACTCGAGACACTTCTGGTGATTGGCGAAAGAACAGCAAGGGGGTAATATCTTGCCTGCCTCTGTGATGCGCTTGGAATGAGCTGGAGGATGAAGGATGAAACCAAACAACATCCCCCAAATCGATTGGCTCGCATGATTTTTTCTCAATCACCCCTTGCTATTTTCAGCTGCCCCGATAAAGTTCGCAAGGAACAAAATGAACCGCGAGGGAACCTGAACCTTCCGTTCACAAATCTAGTACCAATTCAACGCAATCCCGCACTTCACGCACATTTCTCGCGAATACTCATAGTCGGCCTCTAGATGTAAAATACGCGTGCCACGTCACCACCTCCTAGAAAAACCTTTCCTGCCCCAGATCCAAACCAGCTGTACCCGATATCAGTGTTCCCGTCAAACCACAACACATGGATACGCGCCCCTCAGCAAAATTGCTAATAACTAAGTTCAAACCAAAAACACATAACTTCACCATCGCCACTCTGAACTGTACAGTTCAAATTGGTTCAGGATGCCGGGTCGCGTTGGGCCGCCTCCAAATTCGAGTCCATTGGGAACGCTCTCTCTGACATTTTCTAGGCAAAAGCTGTCTCTCGCGGCGCCAGCCACCACACCACACCCTCCAACACAAGGCTCCACCAAATCTTCACCATCCATCAGCGGCGGCAAACATCTCCGCCATCCGTTCAATATATTGCACACTAGCCTCCGCGGTTGATCGCAGCGCACCGCACTCAGCAACTAACAGCGGCAATCATCGACCAAAGTACATACACCCATTCGAGTCACCTTGATAGTACCCATGGAAAATGTTTACCAACATTTCCAAGGTGGGAAATTTCTATGGTGGCGGCGACCATCACATCATGTCCCATCGTCATGGCGAGGAATCTTCACGATTCCTCGGTGGTGGCTATCATCTCCACCATCCGTTCATCATGAAGTCGCCTCGTGTAACCCGCAAACTAGCCGCACCCCTTCCCGCGCTGTAGCAGCAGCGAAGGTCCGCGCCGCGTTGCGCCACGCCTCACCGCCAACGGCAACTTGAGTCAGAGCGGGAATCATCGATTATTGATATCATACTTCCCGAACTAGCTGCGACGCAAAAAAACTCAGACGCGCCGCGCCGCTTGCGCAACCCGCACCGCACCCAGACGATCGTTACGACGCAGATGATCGTTCCCATCGACACAGTCCTCCTTCCAACCACCTTGAACGATCGCCCCTTTCCTTCCATCAGCTTGAGCTCACTGGGTCGAAAACTTCATTCTCGGATTAGAACCTTTTCAATTTTTCCGTCGAAAGGATTTTTCAGAGGAGCTCCGTCTCAATTATTTCCAATCATTCTCAATGATCTCCGACCCAGTGAGCTCTGTCCCAATGACCTGTGGACTTCATGCGACAGGCTCTATTGAGCAGTCTAAGCTACATCATGAAGCCACCAGGGCTAGTGCAAGGGAATGGCCAAGGCAAGCAGCAGCGCGTCTTAGAGTCCGCGTAGGTTCGCGTAGGCGTTAGAGTTAGCATAGAGTCTAGAGTCGTGGGTGGGGTGGGTGGGTAGAGAGTCTAGAGTGCTGCTTGCAAGCCTTGGCCGGAACCTTGTACCACGTCCCGTTCTTCGCAAAGAGTACTACATCGCGAAAAACCTCCCTGACAAGATCTTCACTGCAACAACTCCACCGCGAGAACTCCACCGCGAGAACTCCACCGCGAGAACTCCACCGCGAGAACTCCACCGCGAGAACTCCACTGCGAGAACTCCACCGCGAGAACCTTGAGAGATCTATTCGCACGCGCCTGGCAAGGACAGAGGCACCCGTCACACGGCGTATGAGGAGCGGTTGGCGTGGGCGACGCTTCTACTTTCGCACGGCGGCGCTTTTCTCGGCGCATCACCCTTCATCTCCGCTCCCTCTCCTGGTAGGTATCGCCAATTTCAGCTGGTTTTCTATTTCTTTTTACTAACTTTCTCTTGTGTGTTCTCCGTCTTACTGCAGAAGGAGCTGGATGGGAGCTGGCAGCGAGCAAAGGGAGTCACACAGGGAGAGCACTCCCTCACTTGGTGAGTATCGTCTATTTCAGCTAGTTTTCTTTTCTTTTTACTAACTTTCTCTTGTGTTTTCTCTGTCTTACTGCAGACGGAGCTGGATGGGAGCTCGCGGCGAACAAGGGAGTCACACGGGGAGAGCACTCCCTTTCTTGGTAAGTATCGTCTATTTTAGCTAGTTTTCTTTTCTCTTTACTAACTTTCTCTTGTGTTTTCTCTGTCTTGCTGCAGAAGGAGCTTGATGGGAGCTGGCGGCGCGCAAGGGAGTCACACGGGGAGAGCACTCCCTCTCTTGGTGAGTATCGTCTATTTCAGCTAGTTCTCTTTTCTTTTTTACTAACTTTCTCTTGTGTGTTCTCCGTCTTACTGCAGAAGGAGCTGGATGGGAGCTGGCGGCGCGCAAGGGAGTCACACGGGGAGAGCACTCCCTTTCTTGGTAAGTATCGTCTATTTCAGCTAGTTTTCTTTTCTCTTTACTAACTTTCTCTTGTGTTTTCTCTGTCTTACTGCAGAAGGAGCTGGATGGGAGCTGGCGGCGCGCAAGGGAGTCACACGGGGAGAGCACTCCCTTTCTTGGTAAGTATCGTCTATTTCAGCTAGTTTTCTTTTCTCTTTACTAACTTTCTCTTGTGTTTTCTCTGTCTTGCTGCAGAAGGAGCTTGATGGGAGCTGGCGGCGTGCAAGGGAGTCACACGGGGAGAGCACTCCCTTTCTTGGTAAGTATCGTCTATTTCAGCTAGTTTTCTTTTCTCTTTACTAACTTTCTCTTGTGTTTTCTCTGTCTTACTGCAGACGGAGCTTGATGGGAGCTGGCGGCGCGCAAGGGAGTCACACGGGGAGAGCACTCCCTTTCTTGGTAAGTATCGTCTATTTCAGCTAGTTTTCTTTTCTTCTTACTAACTTTCTCTTGTGTTTTCTCTGTCTTGCTGCAGAAGGAGCTTGATGGGAGCTGGCGGCGCGCAAGGGAGTCACACCGGGAAACCACTCCCTCTCT